TCATTTATTTCTAATTTCATTCCATTGTGGTCTGATAGAATGCAGGGTATTATCTCTGTGTTTTTTGTATTTACCAAGAGTTATTTTGTGGCATAATATATGGCCTATTTTAGAAAAGGAGCCATTTGCTGCTGAAAATAAAGTATATTTGCTGGTTGATGGATGAAATATTCTGTATATGTCTGTTAAGTCTAAATTATTGATTGTATTATTTAGTTCTATAGTTTCCTTATTTAGTTTTTGTTTGGGAGATCTGTCCAATAGTGAGAGAACTGTGTAAAAGTTACCAAGTATTATTGTATTGCAGTTTATTTGGCTCTTGAAATTGAGAAGGGTTTGTTTGATGTATAAAGATGTTCCATTGTTTGGGGCATAAATATTTATAACTTTTGTATTCTGCTTATATACTTCCCTTAAGAAGTATGAAATGTCCTTCTTTGTCTCTTCTAATTAACCTTGGTTTGAAGTCTGCTTTATCTGATATGAGGATGGAAAATCTCTGCTTGTTGACACAATCCATATAAGTAATAAGTTTTTCACATCCTTTCACCTTCAGCCTGTGGATGTCTTTGCCATGAGGTGAGTCTCTTGAAGAAAGGATATTGCTTGGTCTTGATGTTTAATCCAATCTACTAGTCTATGTATTTTGATTGATGAGTTTAGGCGGTTAACATTCAAGGTTATTACTGAGATATGATATGTATGCTTTGTCATTTTGATTTATTTCTAGTTTTTAATTTGTCTTAGTTTCTCATTTCTTTTGATGTCCCTTTAGTGTAGATCCTCCCTTTGTTGGTAATTACTTTTTTTTTCTTCACTTTATCCTCATGGAATATTTTGTTGAAAATGCTCTGTAGTGTAGGCTTTCTTGTTGTGAATTCTTTTAATTTTTTTTATCATGGGATTTTTAATATCATCTTCAATCTGAAACTTAATTTTGCTGGCCACAGATGCCGCTGCCATGCCTGGAGATCTCTTCTCTGGGCATGGTCTACGCTAAGTCAGATGCTACTTCCACTCTACCTCTGGAATCACTGCCACTGAACCCAAGGTATCCTATCAATAAACTCCACCTGCACCGCTATGCCATTCCTGTTGCCTTTGATTCTACTGCTGCCAGGTTGAGGTTGCCTTGGATATCTTCTTTCTGGGTGATGCTTCCCTTACAGCTGCAACCCCCTGTTGCTGCCCCAGATTCACCTGATGCTGACACTGCTTCTGTCCCCAGAGATTGCCAGGTGATGCTGCCCCCACAGCTCCAGTTGCAGCTGCCACTGATGCTGAAAACAACCACCTCCCTAATGCTGCTATGATGGCCTAGAGGACTGCTATAGGGAGACTCTAGGTTTGGTTGCACGTGGCTACACTGATTTTGGGACACCAGCCAGGGCCTGGGGTCTGGGTGTTACCACCACAAGAACCTCTGTCTGGGGATTCCATTTGGGACCTGCAGGTTCAATGTAGAGGTGCCTGTGGGTTTGGAGGAGCCTAGGGTCTTCCTGCTAAGAGTGCTGATGGCCCTTAATTGCTGCTACATCTTGGGGTGCTTCTTTTCATGAGTGTATCCCTGGTGGCCTCTCTGAAAGTAGGAGCAGCACTGAAATCTTGGGCAAGCAGGTGACTGAGCCTGAGGTATCTGAAGCCCAGATTGGTGGAATAGTGACTGGGTTTTCAATGACTGATTATGGGTTTGGTGATTTTGAGAGATTTCAGAGACAGGGCTGAGACACAGTTGAACACTGAAAGAGATAGGTTGACTTTCCAGCAAGATTTATTTTGTTTTATTTCTTGATTCATTAACATCTCTACTATATTTGTAACAGAATTTTTTTATGCACCAGTGTGTAGAGTACAATGATATATGAATGGTGTTTTGTATATTCATTGTATTCTTATATCTTTAATTTTTTTCTCTTTGTTCCTATTCTTTTTCTTTCTTGTCTATTTTTTTCTAACTTTTCTCTAACCAACAGCCAATTTCTATCAACTCCTCTTACTTTCTTTCTGTGAATTTTTACTTCTAGCTCCTCTCTTCCTTTCTTGCAAATATTGTGTACTACACTACCTCTGTTCTTTCATTCACCATTTGAAATTATAAAACATTTTAACAAATTTTCTATTTATACTATATATAGTTATTGAACTCATCATTTTGGTTTAATGCTAGAATGCATAGACACCTCAGTGGGAGTTATTAGGTTTATTGTCTACACTGGGTGCTGTTGATATTTGTCTCATCATTAAAAGTGAGGCACTGGAAACCTTCAGGATCACTACAGGTCTACAGTGAAGAAATTTATGCTCCCTTAAATTTATACTTCTAGATGGCAAAACAGACTAACAACATATAAAAATAAAAGGGGGAATAAAGTGTCCCAAACAAACCAAGGTGCTTCAACAACAGACGTCACTGATAACATAGTAGAATAATGTCTAAGAAGGAGTTCAGATTGTTCATAGTTAAATTGACATGTGAAGTAAAGAATAGTATAAGGAGTGAAATCAAGGAAAATATACAGGAAGTGAAAATTAATAAAGAGTAAGAGATTGTAGGGGGAAAAAAGCAGAAATCCTCAAAATGAAGGAATCAGTAAATCAAATTATAAATTCAATAGAAAGCATCACCAACAGACTAGACCACTTGGAACACAGAACCGCAGACAATGAAGACAAAATAAATTATCTTGAAAGTAAGGTTGACTGTGCAGAAAAGTTGGTAAGAAGCCATGAAAAGAACATATAAGAATTGTGATATAACCTGAAAAAACTAAATTTAAGAAGTATCAGAATAAATGAAGGAGCAGAGATACAAACCAAAGGAATGCACAATATTTTCAAAGATATAATAGCAGAAAATTTTCTATACCTAAATAATAGAATGGAAAATCAAATACTAGAGGCTTACAGGGCCCAAACTATACAAAATCATAGCAGACCCACACCAAGACACATTACAATGAGAGTGACTAACACAGAATAAAGATAAAATCTTAAAGGCTATGAGAGGGAAATTAAAATAACATATAGGGAGAACTAATTTGGATCTCAACTGATTTCTCAACCCAGATCCTCAAAGCTAGGCAGTACTGGAATGGTATATTTCAAGGTCTGAAAGAAAATTAATGCCATCCAAGAATTTTGGATCTGGCATCTTGCTCTTTTTGATATACATGTTCTTTGAAGATCACCTGTGTGGTGGGTATGGTAGCAGTTGGTTCCCTTTAACTAAGGATAATTTCCTATTATATGAACATGTCAGTCAATCTTCATGTTAATGAGTTGGCATAGGTTTGAGACTGTTAATATTTTAGGGACATTCTTGCAACATCCTTGGTAGACACGTGCATTCACTTGTCTTGAGTATATTCCTAGGCATGAAAGTGGTGAGTCAAGAGTTTTTCTGTGTAGTTTAGCTTCAGTGAACACTAAAATAATATAGTAATGTTTTCTAAAATAGTGGGCATGTTTGCAGTCTACCAACCTGTACCATACAGAAAAGTTGCAGTTGCTATAAAACCTCCCGAATAATATTTGATATTGTTAACTTTGTGAAATTGTATTTATATTGGTACAACCTAAAATGCTATTTATTTGATTAGCAGTGAAATTGAGTAATTTATCATGTCTGGATATTCAAGAATATCAAGACATTTTGATATTTTCCATTAGGAACAGCTAGTGATCAAATCAAATCATTCTCACCTTTATGCTTTCCTCCATTTTGATATTTTTCGTTAGGAACACAGCACACTTCTGGGTGTGACTGTGAAGTTATTTCCAGGAATTATTGGCAGGTTGAGGGAAGTGAGTCAAAGACCCAGCCTGAATATGTGCAAAATAGTAGGAGAAACCATTATCTCTTCTCTCTCCACTTCCCCACTTGACCAAGTGCACTGACCCACTTGACCACTGTTCCCTGTGAGTGCCAAATACTAGATTTCTTAGATTTTGAATGTGAACTTGCACCAGTGAACATTCAGGGACTTTCAGACCTAAGGATACAACCAGGAGAGCATATTGTGCATTTTCAACCCCACAACCTCCACCTTTTTGTACTGAGTAACTACCAGTTTCCCTGGTTATCCTGAGTGAAAATACTCATTGGTGAACTTTCAGCCTGTGTGACTTTGTCACTCAATCTAATATTCTACTACACCTAAATATTAGAGGTATGTATGTAGACGTGTATTTTTTGTGCATGTATATATGTATGTATTCTGTTTCTCTGGAGAACACCAACTTGTACACTGACAAAAAATTCTTCTTAAGGTATATAAAGACCAAAAGAACTTAAAAAATCATACTATAGGAACAAGTCACATTAATGTTTATAGCAACACAATTCATAATATAAAATTGTGGAACCAACCTAGATGCCCTTCAGTCAATTAATGGATAAAGAAAATGTGGTGTGTATACACAATGGAATATTACTCAGCAATAAAAGAGATTAAGCATTCTTTAATCCAGTAAAGGTGACAGCATAAATTGACTATCACAGTTAGAAGTATGCATTGTAATATCTTCTCTAAGTTGATATCTTGCCAATTTGCTTTCTGTTTTTGAATATTAATATATTTTCTTGAAAACAAATCAAACATTTGCATTCATGGGTTCTGCATCTTTGGAGTCAACGAATAATAAGTTGAATATATTTCAGGAAAAAATGTATCTGTACTGAATATGTACAGACTCTTTTCATGACAGTATTCTCTAAATAATATAGTACAAGAAAACCACATAAAGAGATGTTTTAAAGCATATGAGGGATGAAATTTTCTACATCAGACTAATTAGTCCATAAGCTTTAAATTCACTCTCATAGAAAGTCTCAATCAACATACCATATGCCTGTAATCCCAGCAGCTCAGGAGGTTGAGGCAGGAGGATGGTGAGTTCAAAGAAAGCCTCAGTGAAAGTGAGGTGCTAAGCAAATCAGTGAGACCCTGTCTCTAAATAAAATCAAAATCGGCTATGGCTCTGTCGCTTCTGCCATAGCTATGAACAGTATCGGGGAGGCTTGCACCCACATGAAGCACAAGTACGACCAGTGCTTCAATCTCTTGTTTGCCAAAAAGTTTCTCAAGGGAGATGGCTCTGAGGACCCATATGATGACCTCTTCAAGAGCTACCAGAAGTGCATCCAGAAAGCAGTAAAAGAGAAAGAGATTCCTATTGAAAGACTGGAGTTCATAGGCCATGGCAAAAAAAAAAAAAAAAAAGCCTGAAAACTCTTCTTGATATTAGCTATCACCTTGAAAATGGATTCCTATATCAGGAAATTGAAGACTCTGGATTTTGTCAACTAAGGCTGTGAATACAGCTGTAGGATTCAATGAATATAGGAGGAAATTGTTTTATTTCTTTTCTATTGATGTTTTCCTCTCACTTGTAAAAGATGATGAACCAGCACTTTGCTTTGAGATGATTTCTCACTTGATCTGGCGTCTTCCAGAACCTCAGTGGGCTAAAACTGAACAGTTTCTTGGGATTATGGTTGCAATACCTGGTCTGAAATCAGCTTTAAATATATCTTGTATATAAATTATTGATAAACTAGTCAAGGTGAGCAGGGTTGCCTGACTTCGTGAGACTGGCATGAGTCAACAGCATAAAACAGCACCCCAACCCGAGGTAATAACGATACGCTGTGGCACTTGTAGTTTCGCACACCCGGGGTTTCCCTAGTCTGCAACCCCGGCAAGCATGCTACCGCTCTCACCTTCTTCCCGCCAGCAGTCGGCAGGTGGGCGGGGCTAGAGGGCGGGCGCAGGGTGGCGTCATCTTCCTGCGCCGCCTTAGTCTCCCTGGCAACCGTTGCGCGCCGGGCAGCGGCCGAAGAAGTGCTGCCACGCCAAGGAAGTGCTGCCACGCCTGCCACGGGATCCGCTGCAGGCGGTGCGGCGTCGCATTCAGGAGCTGAAGCAGCAGGTATGGTGGGGCCGGGCGCACCCCCGGGTGGGC